ATAGAATAGAATAGAATAGAATAGAATAGAATAGAATAGAATAGAATTCTTTATTTGCCAAGTGTCATTGGACACATAAGGAATTTGTCTTGGTGCAAATGCTCTCAGTGTACATTAAAAAAAATACATTCGTCAAGAGTCAAGAATCATAAGGTACAACACTTAATGATAGTCATAAGGTACAATAAGCAATCAAATCATACTAGGAAACAGTCAATATAAATCGTAAGGATACAAGCGTCAAAGTTACAGTCATACAGTCACAAGTGGGAGGGGATGGGTGATAAAGAGTGATGAGAAGATTAGCAGTAATAGTAATGCAGACTTTGTAAATAGTTGAACAGTGTTGAGGGAATTATTTGTTTAGCTGAGTGATGGCATTTGGGAAAAAACTGTCCTTGTGTCTAGTTGTTCTGTGTGCAGTGCTCTATAGCATTGTTTTGAGAAAAGGAGTTGAAACAGTTTATGTCCGGGATGTGAGGGCTCTGTAGATATTTTCACAGCCCCCTTTTTGACTCATGCAATATACAGGTCCTTGATGGAAGGCAGGTTGGTACTAATTGCAGGTCACCCTTTCACTTAGCGGCCATTCAATGTTATAATGGCTCTTTCCAAGAGAGATATAATAACCCTTTTTCGAAGTTCTGACATCAAATCCCCCCCATCATGTGATCAATTTTGGTTGCTCAACAACCTTCCAGTATTTATAGCTGTTTGTATACGTGGTCCTATGAGCATGATTTATGACATTTTGTCAGAACCAGCATTTACTTCCAATTTCTGGTAAAAAACGCTCCCATAGCAAACAATAGGTTCACTTAACGACTGCTATATTTGATTAACGATTGCCACAAAAAAAAAAACTGAAAAAAATTGATGATCCAGTTTTAAGTTGAGAGCTATCTGTGATACTGAACTGGATGTTATAATCTTACAATTTAGGGATACTAGCCAAAATAATTTGATATATTCTGGGTATACACAATAGTCAATACATAAGTGTATATATTTGTCATTATAGATAACAATACTTAATATTGTGGCTAATAAAAGCTAAACAGAATACAGTGGGACCTGTTTAATACTTAAATGTGAATTCATGTGGCATTAAGTGATCTAGGGCAAAGATAAGGGAAA